AGGAATCAATTATGGAAAAAGAAAAATCTAAGGAAGACCCTTGAGACAGTACTGTGAAAACCGTGTTATTCAGGTACATTTTTAAGAGCAATCACATGCTCTGCTTTCTGCCAGACACATAGATAACACGATTAACTACTTGAGTTTCATCAAAAAAAGGGAAAAACTGTTAGGTCGTGGTACACCATATTAATGTTGAGCATGTTCTGAAAATGGCATTCAGGAGAAAAATAATCTTATAAAAGAAAAACAGATATTTTAATTGTGGACAGTAAGAAAACAGGAAAGAGAGGAAGCTTTTTAAAATGATCTAACAAACTCAATCCCTTTGCAGCACTACCACCAGCCTGGATGCAGACATTAGGCAAAGCTAGTGCAGGGAAAGGACACTCACTAATGTTACTGCTTTCTCATGGGACGACTCTGCAATGAGCACCAGGATGCTCTTAAACAATGAATCACAAAGCAGTTATAAAGTACTGAGCTTTTTGTGCTGCATGGCCAAGCACATCAGTCCCCACAGCAGATTTCTGGATGCCTGGGTCTCATCTGCAGGTCTACGAAATTTCTGTACATCGGTTTCCATATTTACAAAAAGTGATGATGAAAATTTAGCTCTGTGCTTTGAGATCTGTGGGTGAAAAGTGCTATCTAAAAAAGAGAGGATTCGTTCTGGTTTTTCTTTTGTTTATGCCAATCAGGGAAAAGTTCATGTAAGTTAATAAAATCATACCAATGTAGCAGTCTTGTGGTATTAGACAGTAAGACTTGGTTATCTGTTCCAAGAAAGGCCAGACTCACTGCTCAGAAGGAAATGTAACTCTCTGATAACTAATGAAGGGTATGACAGGCTACATGGGTTTTATATCATCTGCTATAAAAAGCCCCAGCATGTCCTTAAGCGTTGGTGCCTGAAAGCCTGGGGCCTGTAATGGTGTTCTGACATGCACAAATCAAGCACCCTTGACTGAATGAGAAAAGCAGGGACTTCATTTTTCCTGAAGAAGCCTTGGCAATGGCCATTTGGCTTGCGGACTTAGTCATGTCCCCAGTACCGCCTAGTTTCTAACACAGACAGAGCCATTGCCGGTAGTTCAGCTAAACCTTACGGCTTGATTTCAAAGGACCCTCTTCTCCAAACTGACCATGGAAATCTCTCTCTAGAGCCCTGGCAGTGGAAAACGAGACCACAGCCTCCTTAATCTCTGCCCCACTGCCAGAGCAGCCTCCAGGGCACGAATGGAAATAAGAAACAAGGCCAGGCTCTTTTGCAAGCTGAGCTTGCAGCCACTAAACATAACTGTTGTATCTGGCAGCAGGCACAGATTCCCAAAGTCAGCACACCTGGTTTATTGCAGGCTGTTATAGATGCTTAGTCCTGACACCAGAAGAGTGGTGCATGATTTCCTGAAGGAAGAACAATAAAACTCTCCACAAGGATGCCTTCTTCTCTGCATCTTTGATGGACTGATTTGCATGTATTCAAACAGCTAAATATCTGCACCAGGTTTGCCTGGTGCAATCCACTATATGTGTTTCTCTTTTTTCACTAGCACAAAGGACAGACAGCTTAGGAACATGATGGGCATTGGGGAAGGAGGGTTACAGCTTGTGAATCTTCTTTTGCAGGCACCTTGGTACACTGAGTTTCTCACCAAAATGCTGTTGACATAACAACCCTACTGACCTTCTACGAGTCAGATAGACAATCTCATTCCAAATCCAGATCCTACGACTGTCCTTCTCTCACCAGGAATTCAGAGGCAGTTGGTAGGCTGCCTGTCTGCAGGAGGGAAACTGAGGTTTAACTGCAGATGCCTGGCAAATTAGCTGCTCGTTTCCAGTCAGGTATGTCTGTGTGGCAAGTGATAAAGCTCTATCAATAAGCCACAAAGTCTCCCAAGCACCTGGCACGAGCTTGTAGAGATTTGTTTCAGAAGAGTTATTGTGGCCCATGCCAGCCACAGCCCCCATCCGCTGCATCCCTGAGTCTGCGCCTCATCTGGGATTTCCTCCCACAGTCCCATGAGCTCAGCCAGCCCCTGGAAAAGTCACTGTCTTGTAAACTTATGTTTTCTTTGTCATTCAAGTGAGCTGCTATTTCTGGTATAACTACAGTTACCATGGCTACACCAGCTCATAAATAGGGTCAGAAACCTTGGAGATGTTTTTTAAGTGATTCCTTGGAATAGGGAATAATCCGGCCAGAGGTAACAAAGCTCATGGGTTTTCCTTTGGGGCCACAGGGACTGTGCTTCTGCTACCGCCTGGGCCCCACGGCTTCTGGTGTACCTCTGGTCTGGATCGGGTGGCAACTGATGTGGCCTGAAAGGCTTTCCCAGGGCCAGGGGAGGAAGAGACGGGGCAGGGGCAGGGAGGGACGGACGAGGATCAGGTACTCAGTCCCTGGGCAGAACTTGTCATCCATCCAGGGTGGCAGCCAGGCACCAACGCAAAGCCGGTGCCTGTTGCTCTGCAAAGGAGCCATGCACCTGCATCACCGCAAAGCAAATGCCACCCGCTTTGTGAGAGTAAGGGAGAGAGAGAGGATGCACAGAGAGGAGGAGAGGGGAAATGGCCTGATTATCATGGGAGATAAGAAACAATATGATAAGCGGGGCCATACAGGGAGTTTCTTGGCCAAAAAATAGCTTCATGTGACACCATGGAAATTTTTTTCCCACGTGTCCACTTTTGTTAAAGAGAAATGAGCCAGATTTCATTGGGAAAACAGGAAAACAAAGGGGGTGTTTTGAAAACAAACAGCCTGAAAGAATGTAAATTTTTAAGGTTCAGGTTAAGAGGACTAGGGGGCTGTAGAGCCAATTTCCCCAGCAACTCTACCTACATAGAAGGCGGCAGGAGGGGAGGAGGAGCCCCCGGAAACCTGTCTGCAGCAGATGGAGGCATGGGAATGAGCAGCGGGGATGGGAGTGGAGTCTGCTGCCAGCAGGCTGCACCTCTTTATAGCCACACAAGCAGGTCCCTGCCCACAGTAATCACTTCTGCTGTCAGGAGCTGCTGAGCGCAATCAATCTCCGCACATTTGTGTACAAGCTCTAGTCGTCACAGGGAAGAGATGATGCCAACACGATGCTTCCCCCGTCCTCTTTCCTGTGCCCAGAAATTATTGCACAAACCTCCAAAAGCTGTGTGGTCGTCCTCAAAATCGTGGGAATGCTAAGTGTGTTTGCTGCTTCTCTGCTAGATTGAAAGCCCCTCGGCTGCATCTAGGATTTACTTCCCAGCTTCTCTGCACCCACTCAAGGGCTAGGACCTTATCGATTTTTTAAATGTAAGCTAACAGTCTCACTGAGGGATTTATCTCATCTAACTTCAGCCATCCGAAAGCCCAGAAGCCACGGCTGTGGGGCTCTTGCTCAGCACCAGAGCAGTGCTGGACTGGTCCCCGCTGCCAGGGTCTGTCCTGTCCGAGGCAGCCTGTTCTTTCTCGGTCACATGCAGTCACACCCCTGGTTGGCATGGCTGCTCCAAAATCCCCTCCTCCAGCCTCACCCAACATCAAAGCCTTTCCATCACTACACAAACCTACACCTTGGTTTTCTTCTGCCCCTGCGCTGCTCTGATGCTCCTAGTGCAGCTCCTTTCTCTGGGACCATATTAGGCCCTGCCAGCCCTGATCTCATGTTGTGAGCTGGATGCTCAACAAGGATAAGTGAGCAGTGCTTCACTAGAGCCAACGGACCCCCAGAGGAGTGTTAGCCCTGTGGTTATGCCTCAAGCCAGACAGCTACAGCCCATGACTGAGGTGCTGCTGCAACAGAGGGTGAGGATGATCTTCCAGAACCTTCTAGCAGGGCCCTGGACCTTCTGCTTTCATCCTGAAACTCCTCCCACTTTTTCCACATCTCTGACACCAATCTCCCAGGCAGTTACAATGGGCTATTAAAACACATCAGAGATGCAAAGCATCTGATAAAACAGTGTGCATTACCATCCGTGGAGTTTTGTTGGGGTGGAGTTTTGTTGGGTTGGAGTTTGGGCTGAGGCACCAGCTCTTCCCTTTCTCAGACAGCCCCTCGCAGTACGAATGCTACCAGTACCCAGATGTGACCTAGCTGTTACCATCAGCCCAGTGCCTTGGGTCTCAGGGGTGACCTGTCCACCCACTGGCTGGCCACCCCTGTGCAACACAAAGGTTCCCCCTTCTTCCCCTGCCATCTCATCTGCTGGATGCAGTTAAATATTCACCGGGGCCCTGTGGAGCATCTCAGCAGCATTCCCTATGGCTTCCTTGAGCAGACTCAGCCCTCTCAGCAGCGGGCTGACCGCATGCACTGCTCTGTCAGGTGCATCTTGACCCCTGCGGCACAGATGAGAAGTTTGCTGGAAGTCTCTCCATGTGTTCACCAGCACAGGGGAGGGACCTGGGGTGACTGGGACCAACTCCTCCCTTCCCTGCATGTGCAGGGGTGTATGTGTGTGTGTGTATATGTTCACAAGCAGTGGCATCGCTCAAAGGGCAGGTGATTTCCTTATTCCTCTTTGCTTGTCCAGAGATCACCCCACAGGAGCTCCAGAGAAGCCACAACCTCTTCTTGCAGAAAGGGGCACGTCGCCCCTCAGGAGCGTCTCGCGGCTCTGCTGCTCCCCCAGACCTCGCTGGAGCTGTGCCTGCAGGGCACCGGGGTCACAGCGCTCCCCACACGTCCCCCCCCCCCCCCCCGGGGGGGGCCCCCCCCCCCCCACCGCATCACACCGAGTCCTGCTGGGGGCTTGTCCGTCTGCAACCTGCTTGGTATGCAAAGGTACCTTTCTGCAGTGAAAAGGCTTCGATTCACCCAGGTCGAGATTACTTTATTAGCATTGCAAAAATGCTAAGAGCCTATACGGCTGATAACTTTCTGCTCGGCCCCGGGGCCCCCGCCCCCCCCCCCCCCCCCCCCCCCCCCCGCCGTGCGGGGGCCCGCCCACGATCGGCACCCTGATGTCACCTGGTGGCAGGGTATATCTGGAGGAGAAAGGAGACCTTGAGACCCTTTCTACACAGGCTGGAGGACGGGAGTTGAATGATTGGCAAGAGGAGCCCTTGGCACTGTAAGTATTTCCTAGGAGCTCAAAGCAATAACGAGGGTGGCGGGGGGATGAAAGAGGAACTGGCTGCAAAACCCAGAGGAGAGAAAAGTCCTGATAAAATCCCATGGGGGAAAAATTTGGATGTTTGTGCTTGGAGAGCGTGAACGGACCCAGTAGCTAAGAGAGGGAGTTGTGGTTCTTGGGTGGTCGTTTTCTATTTCCTCTGACACTGGGGCAAGTGCTGCAGCAGTGGTTTGTCTCAAAGCAACCGGGCTCTGCGAGCAGCTCTGCGCTCCTTGGGGCTGCTCAGTTTCTCATGCCGGGCACCCCTCGGTCGGGGCTCCCGGCACCCCCATGGCTTGTGTCCTCGGCTGGCTGAGCCTGTGCTGGGGGGGTCCTGAGGAGCAGTCGGGACAGGCAGCTGGTGTCTCCTGCTCCGGTGCCCAGCTGTGCATGCAGGGCACATCGGAGGGGAGTTTATACTGTGTGATGCTGTACCTTTGGTGTTACTGAATCCCTTCTTTCAACTGGGATGGTCTTTCCAATGATCCCCATCCGGGAAGCAGTTGTGGGAATATAGTTCTACCTGAAATGAGTTTCTGTCTTTTAGAGTGCATCTTCTTTCATTTGTTCGTGGTCTTAAAACTGCTGCTAGAAGGAAGGGTCTGAGATCCTGTGTAAAACACAGGATCAGAAAGGGCTGAACCTGCGTGGACTTTTTCCATCGCTATGATTAGCCAGCTCAAGCAACTGAGACTGGAGCTGTGAGACTCCTCACTCCTCACAAGCATCTTACACTGGATACAATATTCCTTGACGAAAGCCTGGCTGCAAGGATGATGCTAGTGGCTCTCATGAGGTCAAGAGCTGAGCATGCAAGAACCCCATCAAAAGGAATGTAAAAACAAGGGTATTTCCTCCTGGATGCTGCCTTCTCCTAGCATATCACTGCATGGAGGGCCACAGCCCATGGGGGTTCCGTGTCTGACACCTCTGAGGCACCATGAAGACAAGTGCACATGGAGAAGTCTGTATTATTGAAGGTTTCAGGCAGGGAAAGATGAGATCCTACACTGAATCTGTCTGAAGAAGGTCAAGTGAGGCATCTGCATTATCTGTCAGGGAAATTTTCCACAGAGAATCAGAGATTAAGGAGGGGGCAGATTAAAGAGTCAGCATTTGTCGGTAGTATTCAAGCCTCTTTCAGTTCAAAGAAAACTAAAAGAAGGATGATTAATCTGGCCAGCAACCCAGAGGTGGGATATCTGACGCAACTGAGCTAAGCCCATTACTGTGTATTAGGTATAATTAGCATTCAGACGCAAGCAAAGCTCTTACCCAGACGATTAAACCCTGGACTGAGCAGAAATGCTGTCAGGGACAATTAGGTAACACCTTGTCAGAGGAGGCAGCAGAGGAAGTGCATGGAAGAACATCTTGTTCCTCAACAGTCTTTGCATCCACAGCTGTCGGCTCTCACCCAGGAGTAGCATCCCAGTGCCAGCAGCAGCAGAAGAGCTCTGGCAGCCTGGGAAGCACTGCGGTGAGGCAGCATAGCACTTGCACAGAGCTAGAGAAGGAGACCCAGTCTTGTTGAACGTTTGTCAAGCCATCTGTTTGGTGTGGTACCAAGGACTATCCACGTACCCAGGTATGGAGAGGCGAGAGGCTGGGAAATTCCCCTGGGAAGCTGCCGTGGGTGTCTTTTGCATCTGTGGTCCTGGGGCCGCCTGCCCACCCATGTCTGGCTGTGGGCAGGGGCAGCTGGTTCCCAAGGTGTGGGAACTAGGGCAGCTCCCTTGCTGTGGGGCAGGGCCCTCTCCAGCATGAATGGAGACACCTTTGCTTGTGTGTGATGGCAGGTGAGTCCCACCAACTCATTGGTGGGAGGGCAGCTTGATTCCTGCACTTTTCTGTGGCATTAAGGTTGCTTTCCACCCTCTGCCCTGTCTTTTGGTGATGCATGGGAAAATAGGTAGAGGGAGGCTGGTAAGGAAGAGGTTAGAATTGTCCCTTTTAGTTTCATTGAGTGCCCTTTCTTGAATTCATGCAGGTGAGAGAGGATGAAGTGCAATTTGGGCAGATTCTTTTTCCTACCAAATCCCAGGTATCAAGTAGCTGGCAGGTGGATATGACTACTTCATATTGGGAGAAAGGGAAACTCCAAGGACTGAGTTTTCCCATTAGCTGTTTCTCTATTGAGTGAAGGCCAGGGGCAAGGTATGGACTCAAGGATCTAAGAGGAGCTGACCCTCAAACACATTTTTGTGGTTAAGGTACTGTGCTGGGAACTCACTTGGAGACTGAGCTCAGCTGCATCTTACAAGTTTTGGATGTCAGGCCAAAGGGTTGGAAATCTGTTAGCCAGTTTGTTTCTTCTGTTGTACTTTTGGGAGTAGCCCTTGAGAGGGGTGCCAAGTATCTCTGCATGTCAGATGAACTGAAGGTGCTTAGAAGTGGATGTGTGTCTCTCATAGTTCAGGAGGGGTACCTAGCACTGAGACAGACAACCTACTGACGAGAACTGCTCCTGAGGTGGAGGCATAATACTATACTTTGGGGCATTAGCAGACATGCCATGGAGCAGTTTCCCAGTGCAAAGCATTTTGCTGCAGGGCAGTACCATCTGACTTCCTCACTGGTCCTCAGTAACAGTGAGGCACCAAATTCTCTCTTTGGTGTGGAGCCAAACTGCCTTCACCTCTCAGTTTGGCCCTAAAGAACTGTGAGTCAAAAGATTTTGTCATTCCTCCCAGCTGTGCAGTCCAGGTCATACCAATCACTGCACTTCCATTCCCATTCTGTAAAAGATAAAGGTGACAGTGTTTGCCTCTCCTGCCACAACGCTGTGAAGATAAAGCTGTAAATACAGGGTGATTGTTCAGGTGCTTCCGAGATGATAGCCAAATAAGTAACTTCTACGATTTGAGCTGATCCCTGTGTTTGTGGGCACAGTGTGTGCTTAGGAAGCGTTGTGTTACAGGCGGGGGAATAGCATCTGTGCATATTTCAGCTGCAGACACAACCATCTGCTGCTCCATTTGGGGCTGCTGGAACCCGTCCAGTCTCCTGCTTGGGATATTACAGCTGAGACAGGAGCCTGACCGCAAGTGACAGAAGAACTAGCATGCCTCTAGGTGCTATCATTAGGATCCATCCTACTACCAAAACAGATGGAAAGATGTCAGGGGTGAAGTATTCCCAGACTGCCACAGACACAGAAACACAGCTCTTCGCCTTGCATTGATGTGGAAGTGACACAGGATTGCTTGGATGGTCTTTCTCCTTGCATCTCAGGCTTTGCTTTCTGGCACTCTGGCTATTTCAGGACTGTCAAAGACAGGAACTGTCTTCAGACTAAGAAAAAAATACCCATCTTTGATGGCATTTATAGTTCTGAGATTAAAAGTCCAGAGTGTCACTGCAGGTGATGTTGGGGATTAGGCCAGAGCACTATGGTGACATAATGGGATTAGCCTTTAGTACCAAATCCTGAAGTTAATTCCATCAGCGATTCCATCAGCCTGGCTGCACAGGGGCGAACACCTAGAGATACGAGTTATGTAATGGTCATGGGGAAGAATGTGACTTCAAGGAGGGGAGAAAAAGTTGGCAATTATTTACGTTCCATAAATGCACTTGGTCAGATCATTCTAGCATACTAATTAGCAAAAAATTTGATGAAGGGCTGGAAGCTGCCCCTTGGGCACTGGTGAGAGTTATTGCTGCCCTCTCTGGGAAGGAAGCAAATGGCTCTGAGCACAGCAGTTCTGCCCTCCCAGGCAGGAGAGATGTCTCCCACACAAGAATTGCTCCCTGATAACTACTTAGCCCCTGTGAAGTGGAGCTTGGCTTATGTGCAGTGTGGTGCAGAGGAAGTCAATGCATGTACTATAAAGCTCAAAAATGCCAAAATGGACATATCCTGGGGAAAGTTACGGGCTTTGTTCTCCTAAACCCTGAGAAATTAAATTCTGTCTAAAAGACAGTCTCCAATGCTTTGCCTTAGCCTTCTTTACAATCTTTTAAAGACACTGTGCTATTTCCTGTAAGATTGGTATTGACAAACATGAGGCCCTAATTGCAGCTGCACCCAAACTAAGGGCCCATCTAGCACAGCATCCCATCTCCATCAGTGTCCAAAAGGTACTGCTTAGGCACAAGTATAAGAACAGGTGAAGTATATCATGATGATTCCCAAGCATAGGATATTTCTCTAAGCCCTAAGTGTGTCTTTGTGGCTCCTAGGAGTCATATCCTGAACCAGTCCTTAGCTCGAGCATCCTTTGTTTGGCATCTTAATTCAAGCTTGCCAGATGAAAGGCAGTGCTATCCTGATTACTTAGTATGCATTACAATCTTTCTTTATGTTTAATATCTTTATCTTTAATCCTGTCACAATTATACTTTCCGTAATTCTGTCACCTGACTACTGATACCTAGAAATGATAAGCAGAGTGTTGCAACAGTCCTTGCTATTATCTTGCAGACAGAGGGATCTGAAAGACGTGTGCGCCTGCCACACACAGAAGCCCAGCAATGAGTGAGAACCCAACCACCAACCTCAGCACTGGAGATGCTCCAACTGGTCCCACTACACCACGCAAGGGGCCTCCCAAGTTCAAGCAGAGACAGACAAGGCAGTTCAAGAGCAAGCCTCCTAAAAAAGGAGTAAAAGGGTAAGGGTATTTTGGAAAGAAAAGAAACCATGCTAACTGGGTGGCTCCCCACTGCTAAGCTGGGCTCCTGCAGTAGCATCTTCCCTTGGGCAAGGAGCCAGGAGGCTTCCCCCTGCCCCTGGTGCCATCAGCACTCCTTCCTGGAGCTACTCCTTCTCGCCTGCTGCCCGCCCACACTTCTCCTTCCCCAGCTGGGGGTGCAGGGCAGCTCCCCTTTCCTGGATGCTACTAGCCCAAACTCACCCCTTGCCTGTTCTTTTCTCCCCTAGATTTGGAGATGACATCCCAGGCATGGAGGGACTGGGCACAGGTAAGCGCTGCAGGATGTTGTTGTCATGCCCTGCTTTAACACAAGCGCAGTCTGGCTTCAGCACAGGAGAGGACTGTCTGGGGTGACCTCTCTGTCTCCCTGGCCTCTCTGCAGCATCCAGGGTCACCAGAGAAGGCTAGTACTCCCTCCGCAAGCTGCCACAGTCATGCTTATGCTTACATACACTACAAGACAGAAAGGATATTTAGGCATGCTTCAATTTCTGAATACTTCCATTTGGCTGCAAATGTGCTTGTTTGTTTTCTGCTAATACTCTGGCTAAGAATTTCAGCAGAATGAGGTTCTCAAAGAAATGCCAAATGCTAAGCTATTAATACCAAAAATCACAGGAACTAAATCCCAGCTGGCTAAGTATTTGTGTTATCACCAGAATCCTAATTTTAAGAATTTTATGCACCCATCTAGAATTGAGAAACACTCACTGGATGAGCTGTAGCCAGTCAGAACTTCTTAGGTATCAATAACAACTGCACCTATCAATGAGTTACAGATCCTAAATGTTGTAGACTAAATTATTCAGCATCTGATTTAAGAATGCACCTCTTCAAGGAGATCACAGTTTGGCTACAGGCAGTTTATAAGAACAGGAGAAACCACATAACCAGAATGAATTTTCACACCAGTCTACACAGTCACTGAAGAGGCTATAGGAAATGCTGGTTTGCTTTTGCTCACAGAGCAAGATGACACAGGAGAAAATACACCAATCTTGTTTGATCTGGTAGGTAGTACCAGATTTGAAGAGCTCATCTGCTCATTTAACCTTCAAGTGGAGTCTCATTCTTCTTGCTCTTCCCATCTCTAATGTTTCCTGAGTAAATCAACCTTTCTATTAATGCAAAAGAAATCCAAGAAATGCAGTGACCAGAACCCATTTCTCATTCTCTCTCTTTTGCAGATATCACAGTGATTTGCCCATGGGAAGCTTTCAGCCATCTGGAACTGCATGAGCTGGCCCAGTTTGGGATCATCTAAGGTGCCAGCATCTCTACTGGTGTCAGCTGGTGACTCCGCCGATCCCAGCATGGTCTTCATCACCTTTGACATTTATTTTTGGCCCTTACATCCACCTGCTCATGGGCAGGGTGGTTTTGTAAGAGCTATTTATGAGAAAGTCCTTTGCAGATTAATTTGGCAAAGAAGTTATTCAGGACCCTGAACAGACCTCATGCTCAATGTGATGAAACTACTGAAAAATGTCTTAATGCCTCCCTGCACCATATCCTGTCTTCTCCCACTGTCATAGATCTTCATGTGTATGGAGATAAGGGAAGGCTGTATTTGAACTCTTCCCCTGGTTAACGTTTCCCCTGGTTAGCTGAGATACTGTGTGCATGGCTGTGCATGTATGTCCAGACCTACTTATATCAAGCCCATTCTTTTCTCTTCCTTCCCTCCCTGACAGTTTTCTATATAGGATTTCCGTGGGTATGTCCCCATGTTATCTGGGCCACCAATTAGTTGCTGAGAGTATGTCTGTAGAGAACAGGATCAGAGTCACCAGTCCAGACATTAGGCTATTTTTATGTAGCAGGAGACCCTTCCCCAGGGGTTCACCATAAGGAATCTGCTGCTAAGATTTACCTCATCAGCAAGAGGGGAAAAAGGCTTCCAAATGTTGTCTCTACTGCCCACCAGCTATGAGCCATGAGACTCTGGCTGTTCTAATAATGTTAAATGAAAATGTGTGTATCTGAGATCAATAGCTAAATGAATTAATCCTACTATCCATTCCTTTTTTGCTCCTGAGTGGTTGCAATTCTGAAGAGGCAGCACTCCAAATGACATTGTGTTTCCTCTCCTTCAATGGGAGGCTTGTGTTTGACACTTGCACTGTCCCCAGGCCCATACATATTTACATGAGGTATTCACTCCCCAGGACATGTTTTCTGCCTGTTAAGAAGACAGAGAATCATTACAATCTGTCACCAGCCAGTGCCAGTCATCCTGCCTCATCTAGCAGAAGATGGCATTGCATTAGTTGCTGCATCTCCCTGTATGCAGCATGGGGCAAGTCTCCCTTCACGCACACCCCCCACCAGCAGGAAGGCTTTTCCCTTCACCCCCTGGCAACTTCAAGCTCTGGAGCTTGTCTGGACAAGCAGGCGAATGGTGGTTCCCCAGAGAGAGATAACAGCAGAGCAGGTGGGGAGGCAGGGGGAGGTTAGGATGTGTACAGGCAGGCAAGCGCAGAGCGAATCCACTTAACCCTATCGATTTGTGTCTCCTGGTCTCTGGCAGCCTGAGTGCTGGTGAGTGGTGAGGCACTCATAACCACTTAAATGCCTGGGGAAGGCACCAAGATTCCCTGCTGTCCTGGCATTAAGGAAGGGCTTTTGTTTTGTTCGGAGGCGAGGCGCAAGCTTTGTTGTAGCTACATAATATTCATAAGAGGAGATGGCATTTTTAATCATTGCTTTCAGCTTGACAAGCTTCATTGCATAAGAACTGCCTCTCCCCAGCTTATCTTTCCTATGCTGAACATGTTCATGGGAGCAAGGAGTGGTTGTGCCGAGGAGAGCAAATCCTGCCTGAAAGATCGATCCCCACGCATAAAGCATTGCTATAAATCTATGGCTGTGCTATAGTTATCTGCTACTGTTATTCCAGAAATAAAAGCTAGCAGTTTTCATTTAAAATATAGCTTCACCACCAAAGGCTAAAGGAAATGCCTGTTGGCAGTCCAGAGTACAGCTTTTATTATTCAGCACTCCTGCCATTAGAAACAGCAGTAAACCAATGAGTGGTTCAGAACCGCAACACAATCACAGTGCAGGAGTCATGTACCATTTAGCTAATTGCAGCACGCAGCTATTTCCTTGGGCAGAGGCAGTCTGTCCTTCCCACTTATACCTAATTTCTCACGCCTTTCTCACCTTTTAAGGCTTTTCTTCTTTGCCTAAGTACTCTTTATGTAAATGACATTTTATTTAGCTTTTACTGTAGGGGACTGATTTCATTTTTTTTCAAGCTTATGTGCTAGCACTCTCCTTCTGTAGTTAAATGTGAATGTTCCTGTGTCAATGCTCTTGTGCTTTCTCTCATGTTATACCATCCTGTAGCATGTGATCCTTGTTCCACCTTCTCAGTCTGTCCTCTTCTATCTGGGAAAAGACCCATTGGATCCAGTTTTGGATCCTGCAAGCTAGCTGCCTCTATTATCATTGAATTTTCCCTTTTTTAAGCAGAAGAGCAAGAGGAGAACCTTTGAATTAGTCCTTTTGCTCCCTTTTCATCCCAGGCCTTGGGAAAGCAGTCCAAAGATAGTGGGATCCTCTGTCAGAAAACACTGGGGTAAAAGCAAAGTTCTCCTTAGTCCAGGGATTGAAGCATTTCAGCAAACGGGAGGGTCCTGGTGTAGTTTCATACCTGACTGCCATAACCCCTGCTCCCATCAGAGAGCTACTCCATTCTCCTTCCTAGAGGAGCCCAACAGGAATGCACATATATCCCCAGCTCTCATGCCTGGCTGATGAGCTGAGTCAGAAGATGTTTTGAGTCAACACAGTTTGTTAGTTATTTTTAAAATAATTTCTATTCATTAATAGGGGTTATATTCGTTCCTTTACTTGTAAGGAATTTTGAGACTTAGAAGAGGAATCTTAACACATCCTCACAGTTGTTTTGTCTGAGGTTCTGAGGTTTTTCTAATGAGCTATAGCCCCTGAAACTCCAATTTTTCAAACAGTAAGAGATGGCTATGGTGCAAGAAAGTAAATGTGTTAAAGTAGCTTGTTGAAGGACTTCAGTCTATATACATTGTAATATGTTATTCTTTGTTCTTTTACTATAAAAACAAGTAAAAAGCAATAAAAATGAATAAAAAATGTTTCTAAAAGCCTAAGAATGTAGTCTGACTTGCTTACAAAATATATCCAAAAAAAGGCAGATTACTTAGCTTTTCATTCTAAAATCCTTTCCTCAGGAAAGCTCTGAAAGTCCCTCACCACTCCTCATGAGAGAAAACCAGCTATTTATCTCCAAATAATAGGCAACAAAGACTAACTGTGATATCATCCAAGAAGCAGTTTTTGCTTGAGTGGTGACTGGTGTATTCTCCCAGGCGTGGTGCACATGATTTCCTTAGGGCTGAAATCTTTTGGCCAGTTATGCTTTTGGGACTTCTTATACAACTGAGTGTCAGCATGTTTCTACCACGTAGCAATAAATGACCAAGATGTAAATGCCACTTAGTTCGTTCTCATTGCTATGACTGCAAGATAGAGCTGCAAACGCTCATCTCCTTTTGCTTCTTGTTGTTGCTTTCTAAACACTCCTAGGGGTTTCAAGTTGGACAGGTTCAGTTGTCTCCTGGTGTATGCTGCCAGGTCTCAGCTTTAGAAAGTGTTTTCTTTTGTGTTATCTTTGGAGCTTTTTTCTTGCACCTCATCACGGAGTGCCTAGTTGAAAGCCTTTTGTCTTTGAAGGCTCCCTATCCTGTGAGACACAAATATAAGTTTGCCAGGAGTCATTCTGGGGGGACTTTTTACAAGTCCTTTCCCAACAGCACTTTGAAAGCCAGAGAAACATCCTTTCACATGGTTACTGCTATTTCATAGCACCAACTTTAAAGCTGGGTTTAGCTGATGCCTGAAAAATTGTATATCATGCCCAGAGTGCCCTCAAAGATGAGTCCCATCCTCACTGACCTCAGTTTCTGGCTGTAGTGAGAAACTTAAATAAACCTAAATCTCTGCAAGAAAAGAAGAATGAACCTTAGGAAAAGTGAGAAGCGCTTGCCTTGCTTTTCCTCCCCCAATATATCTAAATCACTTCAGGAATCCTAATTCAAAAAGAAAAGTCTTCATTGTATGTCATGAGATCTGAAGGTGGCCAAGATTCCCATCCTCCAACAGTTTGCAAATCAGCACCTCACTCAGTATCAAGCCACTATCACATTCTCATGTGGTATTGATCAATATGGTATGGACTAAAAAATGTACTCTGACAACATCCTTGTGTGTTTTGTGGGGCATTTTTTTACTTTATATATGGGATCTTGAGAGTTAGAAAAATTAATGTCAAGAGCATCCATTACCTTTAGGTCTCCAGTACCTGATTTTTCAGAGTACTTAACATTATGTCTTGGTGTTTAAAATACAGCTGCCATTGGTTGTGGTTGCAGCTATGAGCACTCATTAGTGAGTACTCTCTGAGATCAGACTCTCTGAGCCTAATCTCACTCAGACAGTAAGATCCAGGGCCTCAGCTTGGAAGTCTGAGGAACAATGAGTACATATTTTGAGAGCATTTATGTAATGCCTCACAGGAATGACTTGTTGAGCATCACTCAGGGTGGGCAGGTTATTCCAGCCAACAGTCTGTTTCAGCATCACCACACCGTCGTTATTCAAATCTAGACAGATTAAAAAAAAGAACAGAAGATCATGCAATTAAAATTAAAGATAGTATCACAGGCTTATGAATGTGATCGGCTCTGGCATTTGCTCATACTGGACTGCTTAACTTTGAAATCTTACTCCCAGTCCCCATAGTGCTGCCAGGGTTGTTAAAGCTGGGCTCAGCTTAGTACCCTTAGTACCTGCACCTCCAGAGTTTGTCCTGACTGCCCAACACAGAGAGCACCTACGGCTTCCAGGGTGGACTGCACCTGTAGCAGCTGGGATGGCTGAATCCCCTGTGCTGGGGGGACATAAGGATTGAATTCTGTCAGCTGGAACTTTTAGCTTATCTTTAACAGGTGCTCTCATTTTTTATGTGGTTCCCCTTCTTGAAGTTCAGCATAACTGTGGTGAGATTTTTGGCCCTTGCTGATCCTACTGCGTGAAACACATACTTTCACTATGAAGGCTCATTGCCTTCAGACATTTTCAAACACTTTCTTGTCTCTGGCATTTTTCTGAGGGCCTCTCACATTCCTGAGGCTGTAAATGAAGTGGCTGAGCATAGCAAACACCAGCACACATGCAACATACATAAGGCTGTCCAGAAGGCTGGGCAGACCAAGGATATAACACAAATAGATGAACTACATTACCCATGAAGAGTATGACTTTAGTCAGGGGGGCACTGGGAGTGGAGAAAACTTGGTCAGACTTGGAGAGCTTGGTCAGGACAGCGGTGAGCACAGGAAAAGTTACAGGAAGGAAAGACGCCCTCAAGAACATGGAGAGCGTGGAGCAGCAATGAGGTGAAGCCCCTGCTCTGTGAGCTGCCTGCCAAAGCAGTACACCTGGCTCTGCCCTGCTGACCACACCAAACAGGGTATGGCAGATGACCAAGGAGTACTTGCAGGAGCTCCAAGCCTGTCATGGTGCTGAAGAAAGGCATCCACACATGGCACAAACTATCTACAAGGGGCATCCACTGAGGAAGCTGAACTTTTTCCCTTACAAGAGGCCTTGCTCCTTCTGGGAGACAGTGGCTGAAGCAGCACAACCATCCAGGAAGAAAGAGACCTTGGGAAGAAACACATCAAAAGGTGGGAACAACGGTTGCTCCAGACTACCACCACAATGGCC